TATTATTCTTACTCCACCATCACTGCCATCCTCTCTTCCCTCTCCTTTCAATAATCTGCCCGTCAAACATATCCTGCTTCTCTTACCCATATAAACGATTTCCATATTGATATAAATAAGCGTGTAGTAATGTAAGTGCACGTGGGGATACGCCCACACACTCAGAAACAGTCACGTAAAGACAAAGACACGGTCACATTTCCCAGTAATACAGAAGACTCCTACCATCTTCCTCTCTCCCTCTCTCTCTCTCTCTCTCACATGACTTGCCACATTTATCACGAGAACGGTAAATTCCGCTAGCTAAAACAGCTCCCAACCTAATTGAAGTGATATATCGTTTCGCTACACCTCATGCATTTCGTGAGAAAATAGTGCGTAACCTGAAGAGGTTACAAGTTACCAGACGTGAAAGTTTAATTATACGTGAATTTCCGCACCAAGTCTAGCCATGCGTTGTAGATTGCATTTTACATGTTTTGTTACAAAAATGTTTGGTTAACGCTTTCAAGTGAAGTTTAAACTTTTAATCTGTTATCTTAAGTTTATTAAAATTGATTTCAAAAGTTTCAGAAAAAAAGAATGGCAATTTTGAGTATACCATCAAATGGTCGTTTCTTTAATTGTTGCACTATAACCACACATCACACTCTAATAATAAGGTAAGTGAGGTTATGTTTTCCATTTTTTCGTGATCTATAGGAAATTATTGGGAGAATTTTTTTTCGCTGGAAGAGTCTCTATTTAACACACTTCAATGCTTTGACTATTTTCAAAGCGGTCAGTCAGAAGGTTCACATCAACATGCATGAAAACGAAGACTATAAGAATGCATAAAAGTATCGAGTCTATATTTGGAATGTATGATTGTTAAATTACGTATTTCTATTCGGATTTGTTTTGACTGAAACTGAAACTACTTTTTGTTTTTTCTTCTTCACTCTCTTTCCTTACTTTCTCCTTTTAATCCTACCTTTCCCCCATTATTTTACTGTTGTTTAGTGAAAAATGGAATGAAAAATTCTTATTGCAGGTGTTCAACCTATATATATTAGTTATGTCCAAAATGTCGTCTGGCACCAACATTTTTACACAATCATGGATGCGAGTTGTGGCTCTATCTATTGCTGTATCAGTTTGCATACAGGTACATTACTTGTTCGGTGCGAACTTCCAAGTTAACTGTCAGCAAGCTGATTATTTAGGCCTTATCGATCCTGGCGCAGCGAATTGTGGTTTCGCAATATTTAATTTGTAATCTGCAATTCGCACCCGAGTTCATTAAACAAGCTGGTTACTGTTCAGCACATTTTCCCCGTAAACGTTACATTGGGTAAGTAATAGTGGAGTTTTTTTTGCTTTATATAATAACTGTAATACGATGACGTGAATTTATATGTATTAGAGTTACAAATGATAGGTTTGGTGGAGTGATATTTTAGCAGAAAGTTTAATGCTGCTGAAATCATTATACAGAATTTGTATTCTATTGTAATGAGCGATTAATTTTAGTAAGTCTTTTAGTTTGAGAAAAAGTTCGCACGACTTTATTGCACTGTTCTTCAGCACAACCGAATTGGGTTATTTTGTTGATCCCTTATCTGTGGAGCCGTGGTACTTTAGGGATGATTTCAAAGAGGTCGAGAAAGCCATGGCTCCTACGATTCAGGAAAATGCTGTTCAGTGGGGTTGGGAGACCGAGAAAGAAGCATTTGCAGCTTTAAAAGCTGCAGTCCAGTCGAGAACGCAAGGAAATATGGCGAAGGTAAGAGTCGAAAGTTCTCCTATCCATGGGTTATCCATATGAAAGCTGTAAAGGTATTTGAAGGGAGATGAGTTTCAAAGATGCATCGAGCGTATAGTGCTGGTTTTGAAAGGATAGTAATGAATGGCTTGAGTCTTGGTCTTATAAAAATTGAGCAAATTTAACGTATATGTTAGTTAGATGATGTGTTTTTTAATGCATATTTTTGTTGCTTAGGTTTCAAAAAGTTTAGAGTATAAATTGGAGGTATTTTCTGCGAAGTATGACTTTGCAAATGTTAATTGCTTTTTAGGCAGAACTCATTATTCAGCATGCGCTTGCTTTGGCTCCTCATCATCCAGATATTTTAACCGAATACGGTTTAGTCGTTGAAATGGGACGGAAAAATGTGGTAGAAGCGGAAGAGTTATATTCACGGGCGTTGAGCTATAATCCTCATCATCCTGAAGCGTTAATGTAAGCTTTTTTATGTAATGCTTAAATCCGAAAGAAAAGTCATTTTTCTATCATAAACAGTGAATGTTTCTTTTTGTTATAATAAGAAAAGTAATTGACAGTAGCATGACATGATATTATTATGAAGTCATTTGGCTGGGAAGAATCATTCTGTCTGTTTAACCTTATGTTAAATATGAGACAAAATTTTGGGCACGATTTATAAAGTTTGAAGACTTTTTGAAATAAAACAGGGTAAAAGGTAATAGTTTATAAATTGTGAAAGTTCATAGGTCATACTTCATATCCTATTTTTCATTTTCTTGTTTTAGTGATTGAATAATATTTATAGAAGACGAGCAAGAACTTTACCTATTGTGGAAGAAATTGACAAGGAGATGTTAAAGAAACTTCACGAGAAGCGTTCATATTTTTCACGAATACCAAAAACTAATACGGCTTTACGAAAAGCAATGAAAGAATCTTATTTTTTGCATATTTATCATACTGTAGCACTTGAAGGCAACACTATGTCTCTTGGTCAGACAAGGTAAGATCTTGATTGAATGTGATGTAAGAGGAATTCGAATGAAAGGATCTGTTAGTTTAATTTGCCAATTTAACTTAGTTTTAGGTCCATATTAGAAACACGAATGGCAGTGGCTGGAAAAAGTATTATGGAGCATAACGAGATTTTGGGAATGGATTCTGCGTTGAGATTCATCAACCAAAGCGTTGCACATATTTCGTATTTTACCCTTCAGGTCCGAATATAGCAATCATATTTCTCTCGCATAATTTTTTGTTTTTTCAAAATTATTGTAGCATGTTAATATTGTTATTTGTATCAGTTAACCTGAGAATCGTTTGTTTTACAGGATATTTTGGACATTCATAGTCGTGTTCTTGGTTTTGTCGATCCGGAAGCAGCAGGTGTATTTCGCAAAACTCAGGTTGGTATTTTGTATAATAGTGAATACTTTTGAAGAATTTAATATGGTCAAACATTACTGTTTTGCGAATGAATAAATTAGTGAAAATGCACTGAATTATTATGTTGTACAACAGGGAAGTTTGGAATAGCTGCTTTAGACATGAGTAAAATATGAATTTTATTTGTTTTTTCTTTTTTTTTTTATTACATTTTTTTTATCATTATTGTTCTTTTCAGGTATTTGTAGGAAGCTTCACTCCCATTTCGGCAAACATGGTAGCAGGAGAAATGGAAGAAATGGTGAAATGGTTGAATGAGGATGAGAGTTTGCTACTGGATCCTATAGAACGTGCCGCTATTGCTCATTATAAGCTGGTTTGCCAATTATACATTTTCTAAAAATGTTACATTTTCAAACTGTTCATAATACGGAATTGTGTGAAGTTCTTGAAGCAATTGCAAATTGTTCTACTCTAAAATCTTGATCACGGAAACCCTCTATTTCCGTGTTAACAATTGTACCCTTTTATATGCACCATATACATTCCATTAAGGCTAGACGAATTCTTTTTTAAACAGGTTTCGATACATCCATTCATTGATGGTAACGGACGTACTGCACGATTAGTAATGAATCTAATTTTGATGCAAAGTGGTTTTCCGCCGGTTATAATACCAGTGGAGGCCCGTGCTGACTATTATGACACTCTCAATGCTGCAAATCGTGGCAATCTTCGTCCATTTATTCGTTTTATTGCTCGTCAAACTGATGCCACTTTGCAAGTCCGTTTTCTTTTTTTTTTGAAATGGAAAATGATATTTCAGTTATGTTTGTCTAGTACGGTAAATCTTTCAGTTGTATATCAATTCTGTAACCACATGTGATTATCGAGAAGGATCTGATGAATGTAGTATATCAACAGCCCCTGAGATCTCAACACAACAAGCAGGATCATGGTGATCCTTAATTTTCACTTTTCACTAATGTTATTTGCGGGTACTGTAAAAAGTTAGCAGTGTGAGTTTTAAATTGTCTAATGTTTGCCTGTACCACAGTGCTTCTGCATCAAATGCTGTTTTATAAAAAGCATCACGTCAGTTTTTGTTAGTTGCTAGCTCGGTAAATGTCGTGAAAGTTTTTTGACGATTGGCACAGACAAATAGTTGTGATAAATGTTTTATTGATTGAGGGAAGATTTATTATTCGTATATGTTGTAAGGTCTGAGAATATCAGGCATATAGGTAATCACTAAGTTTTGCTGTAAGGAAATTTTGGTGGAAATTTGGTTGAGGTTGTAGTTTAGTAGGGATTAGATGGGTATAAGTGATAGTACTGAGTTGAACCGAATCGAAGCGTCATTATTAATCAAGTGATTTGAGTGAATCGATGAAGATTTCTTCTTACGTGGATAATCCCAACTGTTTATGTAGTGGGTGTTGGTTTACATCATTTTAATCATTAAATATAAGCTTGGCTATCGGATTAGAATATCTTTACAACAGTAAAATTTCTGTACGGACATCTATGTGTGATAACTTAGATTAATTCTGTAAAAAAAAAAGTACTGAACTGGGCTCGAAAAAGTATATGTGTAAATACTTTTTCGAACTCAATCACGTAATGTCTGAAATCTTTCATTTTTAATTCTGTGATATTTGATTGATTATATTACATTCTTTTATTCAAATACAGCACTAACTTGGTTGTCAGATGATATCAACAACAAATTGAATAGTGGTATAACTTTCCTTGAAAGGAGGAAGATATTCAGGTTTCTTTGACTCGTGAACGAGTTGCTTAGAAATGGTATTACTAGAATCCTGAAAATGGAATGATGCCACCTATGAATGAATGTTCACGTAAATCAAGTCTTTTTGTATCTATCACTTTATCGATAAAAACCGAAATATTTTTAGTACAAAAATAATGTCGATATTGTAAAAATGTATAGCTGAATTGGTGTTGTAAATCGACTCATCTTAATAGTCAAAAAGGATTCTCTGATCATTGTCGACATATTGCAAAGAACTTTAGGTCATCCTGGGATTAATCCTCTTAGATTGTTTCAACAAACTCACTGATCAACTCTGCATTCAATATCCTCCGAAAACTTTTTTGTAACTTATAATACTTCTCTTTCCATCAATAAATCTTTGTCAACCAGTATTTGACTGTGCCTACACACAAAATTCCAAAATTTTTGCAACACATTCTAAGATATTGTTATATAGGGTTGGTGAATTTCTCAACATTGAATAAAAGTTGACGATCCAGTTTATAATTTAAATTGGCATTTTTTGTCATCTCTCAGTCGTCCTAGCTCTGTCAGATTTTATTTGCGATATATACTAGTTAACAGGACAAACGTTTCATCACGCTTCTTCTGGTTTTGTATATTTTCATATGTTTTGAATGTCTTTGTTAACAATGGAAAAGGATCCGGTTGCTTTTTCACATTACAATTTTCATTAAATGTCTGATGAAATCTATTGTGTAGTAAAAATGTGTGAGGAGTGAAAGTATAGGTTGTTGTCACGGTGTTTTAGATGAAATATATTGTTGTAAACTTTATTTTTTGGTAAAATGAGCGTTTAAGAGGCTCAAATATTCATTTATTTCACCTCCTCATTGTTCTGATGATTTCTCTTTCACTGTTTATCTAATCAAAAGAAAAACTTGTTTGCTGGGGCTATTTGAAAATTTGGAACTCTTCATTTTTCGTATGTTACGGTCATTTCACGGCAATATCGGCATTCCTCTTCTTCAAGCTCATCATTATTTCACTTTATATAATTTCCTGTCTTATTAAGAATTTGAATGAATATTATTTATCTATCTTGAACTGCATTGTATTCGATATAACCGAAACAAATTTCACATTTATTAGTGCATGTATTAAATTTGCTTTTGTGGCAAAAAATATTTTATTTTGCGCTAATACTGCTCCCTAATGAACCATATATGAGAGAATCGGTCTAGAGAAAGTCCAAAGTTTCCAGTTGTCTTTGAAGCGTGTACGTCATAACATATGAAATGTGAAACGAGGCTAAGCTTTTGTGAGCTGTCAGATGGGCTCCCATATATGGTGTTAATAAGTGAGTTAGCAGATATTAAGGATAATGTAAATGGGAAATGTTCATGAAAAGTTGTTCTAGCTGTCTTTCATAAAAGCCATATATTAAGAGCCATCATTGGACTTTAATAATAATTCCCTGTTTAGGACCAAGAACAATTTTATCAAGCATTAATATTTTATCCCTGGGTAGGTATTTGTCAACGTTTGCGGTAACAATAGCGATTTCCGCTTTAGCTGCTATATAATTGTTCGGCAATACTGCTTTTCCGTTTATTTCAGCATCGGATGTCCCGAAATTTGCTCCAATGAGATAAGCCTGTAAAGGATGCACAAGATATAGCTAAATCAGTTTACTCTAAGTTTCATTTAAACATTTCTACCAATCTTAATGTTTTCATAAAAAAAGAAACGTACCGCTCCATTAGTACCATTATCAGATTGATGGAATCGACCGAATAAGATGACATCTCGAGTAAGTGGCGCTAATTGAGTTTCGCCAAGTGCAAAATTGTGATCACGTTGATGCATTTTTGCGACCGCTTTCAGTGTTTTCAGTGATGAACGATGACTACTATACTGGACCTGTAAATTGGGTTGTTATCAGAATGGCTGAAATTAGGTGAAATCCTTGATATCAACAATCATCAAGAAAAAAATTCTCAACTGTTTTTAATCTCTGAAAGTAGTACTAAAATTGGCGTACAAATACGACAGTTCAATGTACATGTTTTTTTTTCTTTTTTTTTACCTAACTTATAGCGACGGGATCTTTGAGTAAAAGAGAGCTCCATTGGAGGCATAAGCACGTCAAGATCGGGTCACTTTGCTCTCTCCCGCAATTATACATAAAAAGATTCGGTGAGTCGCAAATTTGGAATGTTGGTTGGATTGTTGTAGCAATCTAGGACTGGAAAAGTATACCGTTACCTGGAAATTATCTTCTTTGTAGTTAAGTGTGGTAGAAAAGAATGGTTTCTGGCTGCCAGCTGTGAAACCGCCATATTCGCTGCTATTCCATTGCATCAAACCAGTAAATTTATTTGTTGGACCAGTACTATCTTCAAGGCTTAGTTCTTGTCCGTAATACAGTTCAACAATACCTGGCAATGAAAGCTGCACAAAAGTTAGTAAAGCTGCTGTTGCTTTATCGAATCTCGTACTAAGACGAGAAACGTGATAATCCGTGAACTGCCACGCGTGTGGAAGTTGCGTAGTATTGAACCATTCGAAAGATCTAATTAATGTAGAGTGTAAACATTGCGCTATTCCATTTGGACATGATCCCTGAAGGAGGAATAACTTGAGGAAAGTTTGAAAGTTTATTACAAATGTCTCGCATGTCTTCATTCGAAAGAAAAAAAAGAAAAAACAGTCGAGGAAGTGTAGGTTAAGTTACAACCTTTCTTGCTTTTAGAAAATTGGCAATTTTGACATAAACTGACATTATTTAGTACAGTAATCGAGTCATCGATAACATATGTGAAGTTCGACAAACCGGAACTATCAGATCCTTCTAGTTTGGCGAAATCATTCAAAGAGGTAAACACAACGATTTCTCTACTATTGGGTATTTCTGTACTGCTTGCATACTCTCGCAGGCTTCCAATGAAACCATCGATCATCGATAGTGCAACGTGTCCCTTAATTTCTATTTAGGTGGAATTAAGCAAAGGCGAAATTTTGACTTTATTCTGTAAAGATGTTTCATCTATAGCGATAAAGGTATAAGAAAGAGCCCGATTTAGGATTTACAAATCACAGTATATTAAATCATCTCATTGATTATTGAATGAGATGTCAAAATGAATACAACCAAACAGCAATTTCGAATAATGTTAATTTGCTTAGCGAATCAAAATTTGAAATCCTAAATGTTTTAAATATGGAGTTGTGGTTTGCGCTCAAAGTGTTGCAATTTAATCGCACCTCTGATTTCGATAGATGTTTGATTAGTTGGCCGATACGATCTATATGGAAACCATCGACTCCTATATCAAGGAAGCGTTTTGCAACCTCAAACATACTCTCCCGTACTGCAGGATTACGCCAGTTTAGTATTGGATCTTTTCCGTCATAAGCCAGATAAGCGTTCTCTTTGCCTTCTTCAGCAATATAATTTGGATCATCTTTTACATTCAATGCTCTCTCCCAAACATAATAATCGACATAATCATCACCCGTTTTTGCTGATTTAAACCTAAAATCGAATATCCACAAGTTTTTAGACCTTTCAATTTCACTTAAAATAAAAGTTATTGGAGTTTTAGGATACAAATTACTACTCAAAAGATTCAAACCATTTATGTGATACAGATGTCGTTGATATGGGCAAATCCATGGTAAAATGCATGTTTAGTTCATGTGTTGCATCTATCAACAATTTCAAATCATCCATTGTACCGAAACGTTCATCAACACTTGTGAAATCGATCACATCAAAAGGAATGAAATCATCCTGAATCAAAACCAATTAATTTTACAGAAGATTCCATGTGAAAGCATATGAAGACCACTTTTCGAGCTTAATTAGTTCAAAATTTTTAGAAGTATCAACCAACCTTTTGGATGGTTATTATAGGCGTTACCCAAATTGTTCTTATTCCAATCTTTCGTAAATCATGAAGTTTTTCTCGGATCCCATTGAAATCACCAATTCCGTCATCGTTGGAATCACGGAAAGAAGGTGTGAATATCTGAAAATATATTCCACTCTACACAATAGTCATATATTATTGGCAAAAATATTTGGAAATGATGAAATAGCAAATATGTTTTATGGAACTTTTCTTCATAAGAAAATCCAAGAATATTGGGAAGTGGAATTCGGAAGAAAAACTGATTAACAAACTGTAACTATTCTGGTATTGCTAAAGTGTGTGCTTGACATTCTTCTCGACTAAACGTGAAACTTTCTTAACTTCATTTATGTGTATTTAATTGACAAAGGAACAAAATTTGGAAAAGATGAGGTTACCTGATAGCTAACTTGCTTACGCCACCATTCCGGTTCTTTTACAACTGCACATTTTGGACTAAATACAATGAGTAGTACAGCAGTTAGAAACATCAAAATCCATGCTACCCAGAAAAGCACAAACATTGCGTATCTGTAATAATTGCTTTTTTCAGGAAAAAGAGAAAAAAAACAATAGTGTCCATAAATTAAATTTAAACGAGTTTTCATCAAAATAGCAATTGACTTCCTGACATATTTTGAACAAATGTTCAGACTTTATTTGCTAAATTTAAAATTAACATTTACCTAACTACCTTCCAAAATGGATCATTGCAATATTTTTCCAGTTCATTTTTAGTAAGCCCGATCAAGCGTACCGTTTCGCTTGCCTTTATCTCATTTCCGTCCTGTAAGAAGATCGTGATAAGAATAATTAAATTTCTGATAGTGCTTCGGTTAATAAATATTTAAACAAGTAATGACATATTTAAATATAACTGCAGCAAACCAGAATTTCTCAATCATCATTGCAGGGAAATGAAATTCAATCATGCCATGCGCTATTTGAAGCTATCTATTAATTAAAGTTTATTTTATCAACGTGAAGCTATATCAGGTATATCAATATTATCCAGATTATCAATAATTTCATTTCCGGAATATGACCGGCTAACAACAGATAAAAGATAGTATTTCCGGTCTGTCTGAGGGAGCACTATCAGAATGAACATCACAAAGAAGAGTTCATGTCTGACAGGCACCAGTTAATCCGAAAGTTTGTAAACGAGAAATTGATAGGAATAATCGAGAGAAGACGAATAAAAATATAAAAATATACAGATTTGGAAGGAAATGGTGGCTGTACTCCATCATGATTCGATTCTCTGATTTCTAATTTGTACACTTGTGGTGTTTTAGTGTCCTCAGATAGCGGCATTCTCAAATCATCCATGTTCACTACTAAAATACATCATTAACAATGTTATCATAGAATTACTAAGACATGAAACGTTCTAATTTTCCGGAATAATCCAAAGATAAAGCATCAAATCCTGAAATTTAACTTTCCAGCATTCATCCTCCAAGGAGAATGCTCCATCAAACAGCAAATCGTTTCAACCAAATTATGTTGATCCCAATTTCAAAATTCCTAACTAGTTTTATCGAGTTATATAAAATAATCTTTACAGAAAAAGTCGCAATAAAAAAATTATCTAAAAATCACGCAATATTTCCTGCGAAATTGAAATTTTAAAAAGTTATGGTATAGATGAAATGAATGAATCACTGATACCTAACATCATTACAACGAACTGTTTAAAATATAGAAATACGACAAAAGTTTAACAGTAAAACAGGAAAGGAACAAAATGACACATAGCTACGCATTCCATAGTGTTTGCCAACATTTAATTCCTATTCCTGATGCTTCGGTAAAACATGACAATTTATATGGTAACACTTTACGATCAACTTCTTTGAATTAGTCTTGTAGATCATAAATCAACATCAGATTTGCTGATCATAAATCAAATTGGTACAACAAACAAAGAATTATTCTTCTCAATCCTATTCTTCGATCTCATCAACACTTTGTAACAGGTGATTGAAATTCAGGAGGTCCTTCTAAAAAGCATTTTTTAAACCATTTCAATGGTTTCCAAGTAATCCTATCTTTACCCTACCTCCATTTTTTATCCTAAAATCACACTTTGGAATATAATTTAGGGCATGGTGATATTACTGGCAGATTATAGGGTCCAAATCATCGGCAATAATGATCCATGTTTGATTTAGAAATTTCGAAACTTCCCTGTCTAACAATTGCATTCGGCCAGTTGTGCCGTATTTTTTTTGCTGTTTAACATATTATCATTGTCGTGAAATCAGTAAAATTATGTAGAATTATTCTAAAAACAAAAACTGAGGAAAAAAAAAAGAAAACTAGAAAACGAAAGAGCAATGAGAAAGATGAGAACGGTTCAAATATTTCTTTTCATTGAAGGAGTATATCGAGAAAAACAGAAGCAATAAATATTTATTTAACAGTTTGCTTTTCCATAGTAAAATCTTTGGTCGCATGAAAAAAAAAAAAAAAAAAAAAAAAGTTAACGGAGAAAGAAGAACGAACAGAAATGAGAGAGGGAAAAGAACATTCTAATATTTTCCATTCATTATTCAACAATATGTCAATATTGCAATATTGCATAAGCTTTTAAGACGATAGTTTTAAAATAGGATCGATCGGATTAGCTATTACATTGTTATGCAAGATTTTGTGGGTGTTTATCAAAAATTGTCCATAATTATTTTATAATCTACTTTTTAGGCGTAAATACTATATGCATGTAAGTGAGATATGACACATGAAAATATCACATGATACATTGAAGTATACATCAGTTGAAATCAAAACTTCATTATCAAATAGAACTTTAAATCTTGCTTCTGAATTCAAAGGTTGTAAGTTATTTCGAAATTTTAATAATGATAGCATCCAATGGCATAAAATTCATCCGAAATCTCACTTCATTCTAATGAAAAGGAAAGAAATTAGTTAGTCCAAAGAGAAAGACCAATAACATCAACGATAACAAAGATTGAGGAAATCACTATTGAAAAGATAAGTAGCAGATTGCGACCAGACTGATGATGGGACATGGTTGGGCAATACTTCACATTAACAAATGGCATATTGCTGCTGTCTCTTTCACTTGTCAAGTCATTACTGCAAATAGTCACAATAATGATAACGATCATAACGATTTGCAGCAATGACATTACAACGATAATGATAATACATTAATGACGACTTTCTTTAACGGACCCTGATAGACAATGTACAGTTAGACTGCAGCAGTATTATGTTGATTTCAAATTAAATTTGAGAACGATTAAGGATTTTTTTCCTTTTACTTTTTAATTTACACAATAGGAAGAAGAGAAAAGTTGAATTTTAAAGTTCAAATTTCGAAACCTATCAATCTTCTCGAAAGATGGAATTAAACGAAAATTTCTTCTTCTTTGTCGCAATACATTAGAAATGATAGTTGTCAAGCAAATATTCTTATGAAGTGAAATTAACTTTCAACCTTACAATTCATAAGTACCTTAACAATACAAATTATAATTAATAATATCATATAACTGTATCAAGAAGGTTTGCAAATATTAGTCTCTCGCATCTATAATATGAATTTAATACCTTCATATCATATTCTATCATTTCACTTCAATTAAAAATTAAAATATTCATTTAAAAGTGGTCGCGGAGAGCAAAAACGATGATGCTATGTGCAACAGCGAAACATCACTAAATGGAAACCATTCCAATCACTGATGAATTTTCCAACATTACATCAAACATCTAATCATGCTGACACTTAAGATTTAAAATCACCAGTGATATCATTTAAAGGTATCGATCATAAATCTGATTTCACACCTCAGTATTTGCCATGCTGTGTATACATTATGTAAAATATGTAAAAATTCCTCTAATTATTGTATTGGAAGGATAATGATATTACTGCAACAAAGGTGTAGTAATTTTAAAAGAATAAAGCTTCTCCAAGAAATTTTAAGCTTTGATATGAAAAGATTTTTCGATAGCAGAGTGAATTTACATTGATAATTTTCGATGAATGTAAAAAAGCATTAGTCATAATAGAAAATATCGAAGTATGTGGAAATTCTCAGAATGTTTAAATTTCTTGTTTCAGAATAAAATGAAAATCTAAGCAATCATGGAACTAGCAGAATCTCCACTTAGTATTAAATATCATCTAATTTTACTCATATACATTTACCGATTCAGGTAAGCTCTAACACTGATTAGAAGGATCAGGAAGTTGAATGCACTCAGGTAATGATGAATACCTAGACATTTACGAGATACAGAATGATGTGAAACAGTGCAAACAGATTGATTCTTAATGTAATTATATCAAAATTAAGTGACAGTATATTTACCTTAATGTAAAAAAAAAAAAAAAAAAAGAAAAAAATGAAACAATCGAACCAAATTGAGAACAAACAGACTGTAGTGCGCCGCGATTGTTTGAAATTTCGATGTTATTTTGGATACCGTCGCTGGAAACAAACGTGAAAATGCTGTTAGATGACTAAGCATTGATGGTGCCAATAACACTTTTACTTACTGACCATAGCTTCTGCAATAGAAAAAAAAGAAAGATACCGCGCTGTACAGATAAGAATTAACGAGAGAGGGGTCACCACTATTGTCACAAAATGGAAGGACTTAGATAATGACCACAATCTCCTACAGGACTCCAACACTTCTCGATATAATGCACTGCGAATGTCGAGACTTACCTTATGATAGTTATTTTTGAATTGCCGTTCCATTTTCTATTTATGGTCGATGAAGCAGACTGAAATTGGTGGAAGTGAAAGGTCAAGAAGTAGTTCAAGATGGTGTATGCTTTCTGAATTACTCGAGCCGCCCAAAAAAGTCTAGAAGGTTGATATGTTTTGGACCATTTCTTCGCATATAACATACCATAATAAGATGAAATTGATATGAATTTACAGAGCAGTAATCGTATCCTGCTAACAACATCTGGCACTTTGCCATTGGTTGTGAATAGGTCCTTGAGATTGAGGCAAAAACAGGAAACCGGAAATACTTGGTCGTTCCCAGAATGGTACATAAGGTTGATGACAGAAACTCTCAAGCATTATCTATCAAACAAAATACTTCTCGTTATACCCCCTCCCACCATACAAATTCTTCTGAAAGTCTCAACCAACTTGAGTTAGTATAACCGAAGTAAATTCATAATATAGAAATTTTTAGTATAAATTGTTCTCTTTGTGATTTGGAATATTTCTCAGATAAATGAATATTTCATTACCTAAAATGATGAATTATACATCCAAATTCAACTCTTCCAATTTTCTACCAGCTTTAATTGCAATACTCAAATGTTGCAGACAAAGTCCTTTGGTGTAAATTTCTTCCAGTCTGTTAACTAAACTTTTATGCAATTGGGAAATGCTGTAAAGAACTTATGTGCAACTGTCGAAGTGTTGTAAAGAATCTCTAGTTTAAAAATTCAGCTAATGTGTCTGGAATGTCAAACCATTCCCATTGTATAAGCAGCTCGGACAAGTAATCCGTGTAGCAGTGAATTAATCCTATAGCTCGGTTTAGTCACTCAATCCCAGGCCTTAATAGCTCTCAACTTCAGACTTGACAGTCAATCAATCACTCAACTCGATACCGAACAAGCAGCCACTTAGCTCCATGATCAGTTTGAGCCTTACATCTCCATCAACTGCATCCTCCGACTTGGTTGCTCTCCAAATCATTACGGGAAATCAAAAACCATTCCAGTGATATATCGACTCTACCTGTATTATTTATGGATATCTGTTTTATTGTTTAAAACAACAATAAATACTCCATAGCTAAAAAGCCTTTCGTACAACCATTCTTCGGCGCCAACTAAAAACAACGAGCACTTCTTCGAGACAACTCAATTTTCACAACAGATAATATATTTTTAGTGAGTCTTTAATTTTCCTCCCCAAATCTGGGCAGATTTCTGGATAAAAAATAATCTTGGTTAAATGTTTCAATAAATCATGGTAAAACAAATACAATATAGAATAGTGCAGATAACATCGCTAACAACACGACAACGACTTGCTTGACCCATTCATTCGTTATAGAAAGATTAAGAATGAAAGCCGTTGAATTTCACAAATTTCCTTTCTCGTATGTGAAATGTAACTGAACCAGCTCTAAAGAGATTCAATCTCAGTGAGGAATTAAACACTTAAAATTACACAAAATAATGTCATCGAATGATTAGCGATATTTGCTTTGTAAAATTTACAGTAATTTTGAACGAAAATCGAAGAGCTTGCCTTCACAAGTGGATCGATTAAGATTTCAGTAAATTATAAAAATAATTTAATTCACCAATTAATTAAATTTCTGCCAATTCGCATTTCTTCGTGTCGGAGATCTCGTTAAATTGTTCTATTTTATTTAATGTTAGACTTTAGAATGGGGATTCACAAGCGGCAGCAATTCTTGAACCTTTATATAATTTCAAACAATTCAGAATCCATTTCAAATGCTTAAATCTGGGATTCCGGAGGGATATCAGAAATTGTCTATGTTTAGTCTATGTTGGTACACTCGGATCAATCACTTTTCGTTGATTGATCCGAGTGTACCAACATAGACTTTTAGACGCCTTATTTTTTCTTCTATAGTCCTTCTCTTGAGTTCAAATTGTTGCTGCTTTTTATCCACCGATAAATGTTGATCAGGAGGCGTTAAGTTCACTGCTTTTGCTTCGTCGAGAAGATCCGCCAGCTTTCGCTTTGCCGGTTGAGCATCTTTGATTATAGTGTTCAACATTTCCGGCTCATGGCACCAATTTTTGTCGCCGAATTTCTGTAAGCTCCATCGGGGTTATCATGGAGGTATGGTTAGCCTTTGGCATTGTCCATTGTGTAGGTATAATGATATCATTGTCCATGATGTAGATACTGTCTTTGCGTTATGCTGTCCATTGTCAACTTATATTCTCTTCATTTCTTTAATTTATAAGATTTCGTTAC